TTTACAATTATTATACAATGAAATACTCTATAATACATTGAAACCAAAGAACAAAACCTTTTTAAAGGCCCAAGCATTTGTTTAACTAATAAAAGTACTGTATAAACGTTTTTACAAATATTTACTGTACTGTAAAAAATAATTTTAATCATTAATACGAACTGAAGGCTTCATGGGTTTTAGAGAAAATTTGCAAACTTAAATTTGGCAAGCTGTTTTACGTACATGTACACATTAAACCGTAACGTTATTGAGACATAGGTGGAGAAGAAGCGGAGAGACTGTTTAGCCAATCAGAATGCAGAACACAATGCACAATGAAAATCCGTGAAACAGCGAGAACGTGAAAGGTGAACCGCGTTATAGCGAGGGTTCACTGTATATATATATAATATATATATATATATATATATATATATATATATATATATATATATATATATATATATATATATATATACATATATGGAAGAAAAACCCACAATGCACAAACTAGATTTATTGATGAAAATCTAGTTTGTGCATTGTGTTTTTTCATATTCTCAACACGGTATTGTGTTTTCATTGCATATATATATATATATAATATATATATATATATTATATATATATATATATATATATATGTATATATATATTATGTATGTATGTATGTATATATATAGTGTGTGTGTGCGCGCGTATGTTCATACATGCACGCAGGCAGATATGCTGACAGACAGACGATTTGATTATGTTCTCATTATTCCAAAGGAAACATGCATTACTTGTTTGGTTACAAGGTTAAGATACACACGATGAATCTCATCAAGCACAGACTGACCTTCATTTTTTGCATATACTCTTTACCTGAAATAAAAGAAAAAACAATTTAGAAAATCAAATAATGGATGAATTAATTGTAATACCCCGAATCAGATCGCAAAACCATATCCCCAAAAGGAAAAGCACAACTCCTTATTAAACACCCCAGCAAGTATCGTGACGAAGCCAGTCCTCACAAGGTTACCCAGTGTTTATGCAAGTGCAAAAACTCTCCTTCGCTTTACTGATAAATAACCAGATGGGATGGACTGGCCTTCAAGACAATGACGTTACAGATGGCCAAGAATTGTGGACTGCTGTTAATCGGTTCATATTCATCTTGTGAACATCTAAGAATAGAGAAGACATGGCAGGAATGACTTTGATTACAAATAGGATGCGATTGTTGAATATATACGAGAATATTTTCTTTGTCTAAATATCAGAAGATAGATAGAGAGAGGAGAGAGAGAGAGAGAGAGAGAGAGAGAGAGAGAGAGAGAGAGAGAGAGAGAGAGAGAGAGAGAGAGAGAGAGAGAGAGAGAGAGAGAGAGAGTGAGAGAGAGAGGAGGGAGGGAGAGAGAGAGAGATAGGTGAGAGAGAGCGGAGGGAGGGAAGGAGAGAGAGAGATAGAGATAGATAGATAGAGAGAGTGAGTGAGAGAGAGATTTCACAACATTTCAGAAATGGACGTGACTACTGACCTTAAACAAGCTTATAAACCTTAACGAAGTTTAAGTCCCATTACTGCACACGAGGTGGAATCAATGGGCTCGGTAATCAACTTAGTCAATCTTGGTCACCTCGCTTATGGAGGTTAGGAGGTCATTCCACTTATGCAGACTTGGCCTACGACACACGATCTAAATATAATTCAAATCCCCTTTTACTCGGGGAAATCGTGCCTCACACCTTGCCCTTCCGAAAAAAAAACACCCCCTCTTCCGCATCGCTGAATGAGGGACGAAATGAGGCTTGGTATCAGGGTATGGTACGAGGTGCAGCGTCTGTCGGGAGAAGGAGGAGGAGGAGGAGGAAGAAGAAGAAGAAGAGAAGAGGGAGGAAAAGAAGAAGAAGAAGAAAAGAAAGAGAGAGAAGAGAAGAAGAAAAAGAAGAAGGAGGAAGAAGAAGAAGAGGAAGGAGAAGAAGAAGGAGAGGAAGAAGAAAAGAAGAAGGAAGAAGGAGGAGGAGGAGGAGGAGGCAGCGGTCGGGAATGTGTGTCACGGAGCGGGCGAGGTTAATCGGATTCTCGATCTACAAGATGGCCTGAGTTTACCGAGCGTAGATCTTTGCTTTCAGGAATTCGTTATTGTTGGTATTTCCTTTCAATATTTTGTACGAACGCATTAAAGTTACGTTAGTAAATGCGTACCTCCAAGTAATACATGTAGGAATGATGTATAAGTCAGTGCATACATATTACATACACGATGAATATTAGATACACATTGTAGGCTTGCACATATCGCTCGGTAATTACATTGTGAACAGTTTCAAGTAATCTGATAATATTCCTAACACTGCTCATGTTTAGCTTACAGAACGCACAGTGAAAGAAACCACTGAGTAAAGAAGAAAAAAAATAATGTCAATAACAAAACACACGTTTTTTTCAGTCTCGTTGATTCTGACATTTTCCGTCGGGTTGTTCAGCGCTGTCTGGCAAGTTATTTCCCAGGCACAGCTGAGCGCACGC